GAGTTGTTTTGGGTTATTTGGTAAAAAAGAAATATTACATGTTCTTTTATGCTTCTTGCCTTTCATGTGAGTGCTTGTGGGATGATTCAAGGGCGGTTTGAGAAAGAGATTAGTTTATGCTTAAATTTTCTCATAATACTTTGCTTTGTTCTTCCAGTCTTCTTGTTGATATCCCATAGAACGCTTTACTTCAATGTGTAAAATATATACAGCAATGACAACAGAAAGTCCAATTTAGTTTGTTTTTTTCACTTAATATTGTCGATATTGCAAACTATGATCCTTTACTAAATGATGTTTGTAGTATTCTTCAAATTGAATAACTGTGTGTAATTTTCATTTTCAGTAGAAAGTATATCTTACAATAAACAGGATACAGGTTGGCCCTGTAACAGAACTATGGATTTCAGAGCTAGCGATCCAGTTTCGAATCCGCCCGATACCACAAAATATCCCCTCCACTTGAAGCTGTAGATGCGTTATAAGAGTAACATTCAATCCCTTAGTGTGAATGGTGAGTGTGGTAGGATGCTGCTGACTGGTTACCTTTCTTTTTATCAACTGTTTTGATTCAGAAACGACGACAGATAACCTTAGTAGCTTGGCCATAAATACAAACTACTAATAATAAATTTCAATTAGCACTAAAAAATTAAGAATACAAGTTTTTGGATACGAGTCCTTTCATTCAGTTTATTCAACAAACAAACTGATGAAATTTAACTTATTTTAACTTATTCTCTATTAAAAACTTAAGACCAGACTTGTCTTTTAGTGACATCCAGATGAAGTTTTGAAAAAAGAAAGATTCATTTAGTACTCTTCTATTAAAGTCTTAATATGAGTATTCTTCTTTATTGTTCTCAACAGATAAAGTCTGCCTGGAGTTATTTGTACTGCGCCCACTACGAGCATCGAAACCCGGTTTTTATCGTTGTATGCCTTCAGACTTACAGCTGAGCCACTAAGAAGCAAATCAAGTTGGGAAATGGAAGATATTTACTTTAATTCTCCTGAATTAACGTTTTAAGACTAGGCTTGTCTTTTAGTGTCCCCACAAATTGAAGTCTTAAGACAAGGATGGTTCTTTAGTGCAGTTAATAGATTCAAAATGAGACTTATTTAATGGCCCCTCTTAAAATCTTAATATGAGACTTGTCTCTTCATACTAAAAGATTAGTGTCTGAAACTCTACTGAAGACTTCATACGAAGCTTGTCCTTTCAGTCCAGGGCCAGTTGTAATTCCATGAAGAAAGTCAACCTCGTGTATCATATACAACTTAGGCTATTAGATTTAAAAAAAAAAAAAAACATGTTGCCATTCTTTCCCTCTCTTTTCAAAGTCACATTCCAACGTCAAAGGACACGACCTTCCAAGATGCTAAAATACTATGTATTTCCATAGATATATATTACACAAACAATATCTTAAATGTTTTTTGTATGGCTAATTTAAATACTTAATGCATTTTAAAGCAAATCTTTTACATATTGAGTCACAGTAATTATGCATATGATATTACGAGTGATAGTACATAATAACAAATTTTAAAATATCTTAAAGCGCCCTCTTTATCTCACCGTATTTCGTTGGAATTAGGATGTTTTGTTGTATTGTCCATCTTTGATTTGTTGTCATGCTCGAGCGTGCATTATTGTGCGTTGGGTCTTTTATGACGTATGATTTTCTTCACGTTTAATAAAATACAACATTCTCTGTGTTTTTAGAGATACATACTTTATATATTAGGACTTCGCCTCTATATGTTCACAATTATTTCACGTGTTGTCTGACCTTCTTCTGCACTAGGGCCCCGTAAGTGATTGATGCGGCGTTGACGGCATGGTCTATAAAACTAGGTCAAATTTGGAATTAAAAAGAAATATCATGTATTATATTAATACTGTTGATGAAAAGGTATTTAAGAACTTTCTTATTTTTCGAGTTATCACGATCTAAAGATTTAAGGTCAAATGGTCGCAATTTATGATATTTAAAAACTGTTTGTTTGTTTTATGAATTTCGCGCAAAGCTACACGAAAGCTATCTACGCTAGCCGTCCCTAATTTAGCAGTGTAAGACTAGAGGGAAGGCAGCTAGTCATCACCACCCACCGCCAACTCTTTTACCAACGAATAGTGGGATTGACCGTTACATTATAATGCCCCCACAGCTGAAAGGGCGAGCATGTTTGGTGTGACAGGGATTCGAACCCGCGACCCTCAGATTGCAAGTCGAGTGCCTTAAACACCTGGCCATGCCGGGCCCGGTTGAAAGGACGAGCATGTTTGGAGGGACGAGGATTCGAACCTGCGACCCTCAGGTTGCGAGTCGAGTGTTCTAATCAAATTTAAAAACTATCTTCCAATAAAAATGAAAATGGCAACGTTTTTCTTTTTTAATTAAACATGGTTTACACTTTAAAATTATATATATACATATATTGACCTCCATCAAAATTCTATAGAGATTAAATAAAGAACAACTTAACATTGACTATTTAGTGTCTTCCCCACGTAAAGTTTTGGGGGAAAATACGAGATTTATTTTAATATTCATTTGTTGAGTCTAAGACGAAGTTAGTCCTTCAATGTGTTTTAGAGAAAGTTTGGAAATAAAGCTTGCATGAACACCCTTTTATCAAAGTTTTAAGACGAGACTTATCTTTTGGTGTACTCTGTTGTAAAAAGTTTGGAAATTAGATTTACTATTAACTCTTAAGACGAAGCTAGTCCTTTAGTGTTCTTCAAAGATAGCTTTGGAAAAGGACAATTGTTTTAACATTCCCCTACTAAAGTCACAATACTAGGATATTACTTTAGTGCACTACACATATAAACTTTGGAAATTAATATTTTAATGTGTCTCTATTAATTTCAAAATTAGATTAGTATTTCAGAAGCAAAATTTGGAAATGAGACATATCTTAATACCATTTATTCTAATCTTAAAATGAGGCTTATTCTTCAGCACAGTGGTTCCCAATCGTTCTCCAACTAGTTTCAATCCCAAACCTTTAGGGATCGCTCCGTACAATACCAATTTTTTAGAGTATTTTATATTATATTGTAAAACAATATAACTCAGGAGCTATATTTTAAGATACAATTTTTTTATACAACCGTCTTGCGGACAGGTAGTTTGAAACCACTGGTTTAGCGTATTCCTAGATAATAATTTGAAGGGAAAAAAAACAAAGACTGACTACTTTAATAAAGTGTAAGACTCTGTGCTTGTCCTTTTGTGGGCTCCAAAACGTTTTTTTTTTCTTGGGACATTGGATATTTTGATACTCCATCTTAAGACGAGGCTCTTCCTTTAGGGTATTCGACAGATAGTTTGTTATGTCACTTTTCTATAAGTTCTTCCGACAGCGCTTCTTTTTTTTAATCTTAGAATGCATCTGGTTTTACTGTATCCTAGATACATTAAGAGAAGATTAAGATTACTGCTTTCTCGTTTCGTGTTTTCGATTCCTATTTCATTTTAATGTTTTTATTATATATATTTCGGTTTTATTTTTAAAATAGATAGTTTATTTTCTCGTAATAATAGTTTATTCCATTCGTGTGATTATTCATGGAATGGTAAATTAATTGTCTTCCTCTGAGTAAAATATCCAAGTCCATTTACCACTTTAATGTATTAGATTATTATCATTACCAAGATATGATGAGTATCTTTCTTTAGCCTTCTATTTTCATAACTTTTTTGTTACAAGCATATTTGGGAGCGATCAAAAATACTGGTTACAAAGGCAATATAAAAAACCGATAACTGTATAACCATTCAAAGATAAAATAAGCCGTAACAGAAAATGCATTTCATTGTGTATGCACGAAAGTTTTAAATCATATCATATTGATTTTTATGCTTAACATTTGGCCAAACATATTTTGCAATGCATTAGTATACTATTATTAATATTAATATCAAACAGCAACAAAATACTGTAGAATAAATTTACAGGATAAAATCCGACATATAATTGTGCTGCCATCTAGTACGTACTTAAGAAGTTTCGTCGCTATCTACGTGCCTAAAGTGCACTTCAAGTAATATACTACACTCAAAGATTTCGATCTGCAGACTATAAGTGAAAATTCTTTACGCCAGTGTTTGTTTGTTGGGATAAGGTATGATAATTTATATCAAGATTGAATCAAGTTATGGCACTGGTAACTGAAAATTTCATAAAATATACTGCAATTGCTGTTCTTGTAATAATGCATACAAGAAAAAAAAAGAAGATAATACATTAAACTTAATTATTTTTTGTTGTATTTTCTGTGACATTTTTATTAAAAAGGTATTGAAATTAAAAGTAGGAACTGCATGTACTAACTAGAAATGGTAAACAAAGCTGCAAGCCATTTTTCATTTCAGTGTTAAAATTGGTTTGTAACGTTTTATAAACCATCAATTATTCATTAAGATGCACATACATGAGAGGATGTTTTGGACATTTTCCAGATAGAGACAGTGCCACAGCCAATTACGAGTTGTGAGAATATCTTTCTGGTGGTTTAAATATATATTTTTTTTACTTTGATTGGTTTATTACATGGACTGATAAAATAATTTCCTTTATCTTCAAACTGTCCTGCATAATTTAGAACACGATTCAATGCAATAAATCTCTTCAAACACCACTGAGGACATTACAGGCACTGTATAAATTATGTCTGTAATAGTTCACAAAAAACTTTAAGTTTGTAAAGTACTGTACATATCACAGGACTAGTATCACATTCCTTAAAACATTCTGTGGAACAGAAGCCTAATTCCAGGTTTGTCTTTATCACTACTGATAATGTTTTTAAAGTTACTCCAGCAGTAAAAGTTTTATTTTATTTTTTATCACCATGCTATAATAACTGATGGTTTGTTTGTTGCTCTAATTGAAGAATGAACACAAGTCACTAAATTCTTTAGATTATATGACTATAAACTTAGTAATGGCTAAAAAATATTTAATTATTTCACATCAAGCACAGGTTAGTAGGAATAATTTTATTAAAATAAAGGAAGTTCTCACTTCATCTCTTTTACTCACTTGATGTTAGTAACGTCATTTAATATTCTAGTGTTTTCTAACATTGAGATAAAGAACTGGTGTTACTACTGTGGTTAACTACATACATTCAAAAACAATTGCAATGAAAATTAATTTATTTTGTGTAAAATTGTTATAGATCTAACTAGTACAGGCTGTTTTAAGATTTGGTGAATACACCAACTGTTGTAAAATTTATTTCTATTCAAGTCTTGACAGGTTGATGACTAGTACTCGAACCATAAATGATATACTTCTACCTTACCACCAAATATACAAATAATAAAGATTATAATTTGTTTATTGAAAATTTTAAAATGAAAAGACTACATTTAACATCAACAAGTTATCATGGAGTATTAGTATTAGCACAGCCAATAGATCTTTACAATGCTACATATTCAAAACATTTATTCTAGTTTACTTATATAAATTCATGCTTGAAATTTTCATGTTTTGAAAGAAAGATTCAGTTCAGTATATATAAGTTTTTATTAGTTAAAAACAAATATAATATGATAGTATCTTAAACAGCCTGTATTAAAATGTTAGAAAGCAAAAGGACATCATGAAGCACACTTTTATGCTATTAGTGTTCCAGGATGAAGAATACAACGTAAAGTTAAAACTTAAGATAAAAAAATTCAACCTATATAATTTTTAATAAAACATTCTACCAATTCACATGTACATCATATCAAAATCAGAGAAAATAAGCTGTATCTGATAATCAACACGGCATTTTGTCCAACTAAGAAAACAAAACATGTATAGAACAATTCTTGCTGCCTTAGTCATTCATGATAACATCACAGGAAAGAAAAAAAGCTTCTCAAAGATTCCATTTGAAAGATCAATTGCGATATTAAACAAACATTCATTTTCTACACTGTACACTGTACAAATTGAGACAAACTTAACTAGAACAGACTTCCACAGGTATTGCAGTTGAAACACTGAAATTTCAAGGAAAAAAAAGGTAAGTATCATATATTGGTAAATCACAGGGGTAGGTAGTACGCTCTTAGTTCAACAACTGTTTATATATATGTACAACACAGAAGAAGCTTATGATACAAGATCTGGAAGAAAGTCCACAAACACAGTTCTTGGGTAGGACACTGGCAAGGAACATACTGCCTCAGTAGAGATGAAAGCTTTTCTAAACTGGAGTTTTACAAGACTTTTGCTAACTCTTGTAGTATGTATTTAAACTTGGCTCTAAAACTTAACATATAAAAAATGATCTAAATGTTTACTACAAGAATAAGAAACATTTCTCAAATAATAAGACTTTACTGTATTAATCCATTAAGAAGTAAAAATCTCTAAAATTCAGAAGAAACAAATAGCATCCTAGAACCATTAAAATCCTATCTCTAGGTAGCCCACACTAATAATGACGTAAAATTAAAGAATTAAAATCAGTGCTTTTCACCATATGGGTTGTATTAAATCAGTTTACAAATAACCAGGAATTTGCTGTTTGTATTGTCTTGTTCTCAAACAGTGGAAATTTTGGAGATGAAAATAATTTTCTTTTAATGCAATTGGTTAGTTTACCATTACTATTACCACTATTCCAGAACAAAACCTAAAACAGTTCCAATAATTTCACTTGTGCATAAGCTACTTAAAAGTCCACCACTAAGAAGCCATGCTTCTTGTCACACAAAAACTTTAGCCAGGGCATCAGCACCAGCACTAGCTATGTAGGGCTTTGATGGATGGAAAGCCACATCATAAATGGATTCATCAAATTTCTTTCTGTGAGAGGTAATTTCTTGGACACAAGTCTTGTTGTCCATGTTCCAAAGTCGTATAGAACAGTCATGACCTATAAGAAACAAATAGCTAATACATTAAATTTCATTACAAGAAAAGAGATAACACATACTTTTTATCCAATGCGTACAATGCATTACTTGCAAAAACATAGTTTCTAGACGTCAAGGAGGATCTTGTTTAGTAGTTATTCGTACCTATATTATAATAAAAGTATTTAATTATTTACTTTTCTACATAGTAATATTTTTTGTTTTTAACTCTGTTAACAAGACTCCACTGGATGTTGTATGGAAATAATTTCAAGACTCCTTCAGGCATCTTCTGGAAATAATGCCCAATATCAATATTCCCTAATGAGTCATCTAGAAATTATACCCATTATCTTGACTTTACTGATATTCATTTGAAAATAATGATGAATGGCACAGTTATATCAAATATCATTAGGCAATCACCAATTGTCATGACTCCACTGAGCATCAAAAGGCAGCAACCCTCAAAACCATTTCTCTAAACACTGTCACACAGTAATGCCCATTGACAGGTGACTGTTGAGCATCATAGGTGGTAACACCCAATACTATCATTCCTTGAGTGTCATCAGGAAGCAGCTCTCAATGTTATGACCTCACTGAAAATCTTGAAATTGTGCACAGGCAAGGCTTCACTGAGCATCATCACACAGTAACACCCAATGCTACTGTTACATGTAATTAGGAAGCAGCTCCCAATGACATAAATCCACTGAGTATCATCATGGAAAAACACTTATGTAATAATGCTCCACTGACTAACATCAGCTAAAGAGTACACAAAGAATCATCAGGTGATAAAATTCAATACCAAAATCGCACTGAGAATCATCACCCAATAACACTTAATGCCATGGCTCAAAAGTGTGTCATCAAGAGATAACAACAATGTTGTGGTCCCTCTGAAGGCTATCAGGTAATAACATCTGATTCAACAGCTCTTAATGAACTTCATCAAGCAACAGACGAAAAATAAGTATCCTTCTATTCAGAAATTAAATAGGTTATAAGCATTGTAAATATAGAAAGTGTTTAATAATCAGCAAAATGCAAATTTGTGATCTCTCAAAAACTATATTATTAATTATCTTAGAAAACTACATACACAATAATTTATCAGTAAGCACCTAAACAAATATTCAAACCTTTTGGTTCAAAACTTAAAATCCAGGACCATATATAAATGATGATTTTTAAGGAAAGTACAAGGATAAACAATATGTACAAACTATAAAAGAACAGAAAATCTATTTTTACTTTAACACTCCTATTTCTAAAAGTTCTGAAAGTTGGAGTTTTTTAATATTTCTCACTCAACAATGAATGCATTAAACAAAGTGAAACAATGGATATTACCCAACTGAGAATCAAACAATTTAACAAAATTGAAGTTATTACTGCTCATAAGAACTAAAAACAGTAATTCAATTTTACTTTGTCCCATATACATGTGAAATAAGTATATTGTTTCATTAAACTTACTTCCAGAGAGAAGATAAAGCCCATTAGGATCAATTGCAAGGCAAGTCACTGCATCTAAATGAGCCACCATTGAATGGACCATTTTACCTAAAGATAAACATTTATAACATTTAGTAATCTCATAAGAACACTAATTTCTTACCTGGATCAACTTACACATTCATTTACTATGCTAACTACATAAAAAGAAATCTGTTTTACAGAAGTCCATTTTAAAACACATTTACTATATTAGCTTCTTCAATTTATTTTAATTGATCAACCTTGTGCACACAGTTACAGTGCTTCCTTCACAATCAACCTTTTTACAAAGGTTCACTATGAACATATTTACTGTACTAAATTCATAATAAACCTGTTTTACAAAAATCCAGTATAAACACACATTTACTGTACTAAACTTACAATAAACCTGTTTTACAAAGATCCCATTTAAACACAAAACTTACTGTACTATATTCATCCTGATTTACATAGTTTAAGGCTACACATATGTTTAGTCTACTGAACTGAAAACAAATCTATATGATAAAGGTCCAATTTAAACATGTTTACTCGACTATGTTCATAACACCAACTATGGATATGACTAAATTCCCTGTATCATTATACTTACTATGCTCAGTTCATGAAAACTTTTATTATAAATTTATTAAATAATAGTGATTCAAAAATTAAATAATAATTTGAAACAAGTTAAACAACAATTCATGACAAGTCAAAAAACAATCATTCCAAATTTATTTCAATGCCACACCAAAATGAACATCATCCACAAAAACATAACAATTATCCAATGTAATTTTAATAACATTCATCCACAGTAAGTTAATGGAGAATAATCCAAATACAAATCTTTAATTATTACTAAATAAGAAACTGATAAACCAGTTCATAATATTTCAAAAAGCACTAAACTTACCAGTAGTGATATCAAAAAATCTAATATTCTTATCTTCATATGCTGCAATTACAAGAGGTAATGTTGGATGGCAAACAATGCGATTTATCTGTTTACTTAATGGATTTACACCTGCAAAAATGAGTATCTTACTTGTTTTTGCAAAACTTCAAAAATGCAATAAAGAATAAATGAAAAAACTTAAGTGCCATAAAAACTCTATAGATCAGTTAGTATTTAATATAACAATGCAAACTGAAACATACATTACAATCATACTTATACATAGATATATATAATATGCAAGACATTTTATAAGAAATACCACACATGTGCAGTGATTAACATGTGCAAATTAATTTAATGTGTGAATCACATAGGTGCTTAAAGTGATGCATTATGACAGGGAAATAGCAAGAAAGCATTTGCTCTTTAACATTATCAATATTTGCATTATGATACTAGAGTTATCAATTTTATCAAAACCAAACAGAGACACTATGTTTAAAAGGTTCATTTTAATTTTGGTTTTCTTATTCGAGTTTTTTAAGTGGAATGTCATATGATCACATTGATAGCCGTATTAGATTCTACTTCCGCTGTATTATAAAATTATACCAATTGCATGTGTGTTTTTTTCTTCTGTATGCTATCTAAAGGAAGAGTTGAATATTTTTATAGTGTAACAAAATATTTGAAGGAATAAAAAAAATATTTACTTGAACTGTTAATAGTGTCCAAACGTAATACATTTTTTCCAGTTTCCAAGTCAAAGATTAGTGCATTGGAAGAGTCATATGCTGCCACCATCTGTGCAGGATCACAACGAACAAAGTCTACAGAAGCAGGTTGACCATCATCTGAAACAATTTATTTCAAGTTTAATAAAACAGGAACATAACAAACAAAAACATATTTCAATTTTACATATTTTAGTGTTGACTACAGACAAAGCATACCACAATACAGTGCCTTGAAAAAGTATTCATCCCCTGCAGAGTTCGCACATTTTGTTGCCTTCTGAGCAAGCAATCATGAAACTTTCAAATAGGACTTTATATTTAGAATCTACACAATCTACTCCAAACTGCGAAAGCTAAGAAAACGTTGATATTATGTAAATAAGTTAGATTTACAAATAAAATTATAATATTCTTAATTGCATAAGTATTCAACCCCTTTGCTACAGCAACCCTACATCAGTTCAGGTACAAAAGATTAGTTTGAAAGGCCACAAAATTAGTGTAATGGTCTTTGTCTGTGTGTAATCAAAGTGGTTTAACTTGCCTTCAGATTAAATGCATCTGTTCAAGCCATAACTCACATAGTGATACGACAAACCAACCATGAAGACCAAGGAGCTTTCTTAACAAGTCAGGGATAAAGTGGTAGAGAAGCACAGATTAGGAGAAGGTTACAAGAAAACTTCAAAGGCACTGATTATTCCTTTGAGTACACTGAAGTCAATCATTAAGAAGTAGAATGTGCTTCATACCACCCAGTTACTAACCAGATCAGGCCGCCCTTTCAGACTAAGCAACAGGTCAAGCAGGAAACTGGTTAGGTATGCCACTGTGAAGCCAACAGTGACTTTGAAAGATCTGCAAAGTTCTATGTCCACTATTCATGCATCAACAATATCCCAGTCCCTACACAAAGCTAGCCTGTATGGATTGGTGGTGAGAAAGAAGCCATTACTAAAAAGAATCATCTTAAATCTCATATGGAGTCTGCAACAAAGCATGTAAATGATACTGCAGATAGGTGGCAAAAGATTTTGTGGTCAGGCGAGACAAAATTGAGCTTTTTGGTCTATATTCAAAGCCTTACATCTGGTGCAAGCTCAACACAGCACATCACCCAGTCAACACTATCCCAACTGTCAAGCATGGTGGTGGCAGCATCATGTTATGGTGTTGCTTCTCATCAGCAGAGACTGGGAAGCTTGTCAGGATCGAGGGGAAGATGGATGGTGCAAATTACAGGAAAATCCTTGAGGAAAACCTGCTTCAGTCAGCCAAGAATCTAAAACTTGATTGAAAATTCACACTTCAGTTGGACATTGATCCAAAGTGCAAGGTCAAAGCCACAATAGAGTAGCTTCAAAAGAAGAAAGTGAATGTCCTGGAGTAGCCCAGTCAAAGTCATGACTTGAATCCAATAGAAAACTTATGGCGAGACTTGAAGATTGCAGTCTATCAATGATCACCAACGAACTTGTCAGAATTGGAGAAATTTTGCCACGAAGAATGGACAAAAATTACAACATCCCATTGTGCAAAACTGGTAGAGATCTATCCAAAAAGACTCACAGCAGTAACTGCTGCCAAAGGTGCTTCCACCAAGTACTGACTTAGGGGACTGAATACTTATGCAATCAGCAAATTTCAATTTATATATTTTCTTTGTAGGTTTTGCTGACATTCAACCTCCTTCACACATAACAGTGTTAAGTTTGATCATTAGAGTTTTGAATAAAAACAAGTTCATTAAAAAACAGTTTACATTATTTGTATTTCATCAAAATGTGACATTATTGGTAGGGGGGTGAATACTTTTGCAAGGCACTGTATATCTGATATTTCAATATTACATATTTAAGTGTTGACGACAATATACCTGATATTTCAATATTATATAATTTAGTACTGTCACACACAACGTGAACTACAATATATCTCATGTTTCAATATTACATATTTTAGTGGTTACACAGATATAGTGGACTACAATATATCCTATATTTCAATATTACATATTTTAGTGGTGACACAGACATAGTGAGCTACAATATATCTGATATTTCAATATTATATAATTTAGAACTGACACACACAACGTGAACTACAATATATCTCATGTTTCAATATTACATATTTTAGTGTTGACACAGACATAGTGGACTACAATATATCCTATATTTCAATATTACATATTTTAGTGTTGACTACAATATATCTGATATTTCAATATTATATAATTTAGTACTGACACACACAACGTGAACTACAATATATCTCATATTTTAATATTACATATTTTAAGTGTTGGCACAGATAAAGTGTTTCTCTCTCTTATCTGCTTATCAGCTCTAAGGATTATCTCAAACTCTATCTGTGGAGTGATAAATCTATAACTCTGTCTATGGTACTTTCTCTGTAATGTAAGAAATGTTAATGACTAGTTGGACAATTATTTATAGTGATTTTTAAACATTAAATCTTGAACATTATCAAACATTTGCTTGTTGTGTAAAATATCTGAACCATTATCTTGTATTTTTGTTGAATTTTGTGCAAAGCTACTCGAGGACTAAATGCATTAGCCATCCCTAATTTATAAATGATAGACTAGAGGGAAGGCAACTAGTCTTTATCAATGAAAAGTTAGATTGACTATCACACTACAACTTCTCCATAGCTGAAAGGGCAAGTATGTCCAATGATGGAATTCAAATCCAAGACCTGCAGATCGTAATTTGAGCACCCTAAAAACTAGGCCAACCATTATTTAAATATTTGTTTGCAGTGCAAGAAATCTGAGCCATAAAGTGTAAACCTTTATCAGTGAAAAGAAAATACAAAACATCTAAAATTGAGCATCTATGCACCATTCAAAGAAGTATGAAAAAACTGAAACTTTACATATAAAATGGAATACCCTTCTTCTTTTTTTGTGAAGTGAGTTATCTGAATCTATGGAATATTTGACTCTTTACTTATAAAGTGGAATATCTTAATTTTTATTCTAAACCAGGTTACCAAGTGATATATGATACTTTATTTGTAAATTACATATATGACACTATATATAGAATGCAGTGTTACCCACACTATTCCATGTCCTGTTGGTGTCTTGAAGCTGCCAATTCCTTCTTTGAGGGCATGATAGTGACCAGTGCTCAAGTTATCTGAATCTTTCTATAAAGTTAGTTATCTGAATTTTTACTTATACAATGAAACATCTGAAATTTAATCTGAACCTTCATCTGTTAAGTGGGATATTTGATTTTTTATTTATGAAGTGATGATTAAAATGTCTAGCCTTAATATTATTTATAACACACTAAAGTTTTACAGTGAATCTATATTTGTTAAGTGGAATGCCTGAAACTTTACTTATCAAGGGGATATTTTGATCCTTGTTTTATAAAGTGGGCTTCCTGAATTTATAAATTGGAATATTTGAATCTTTATTTATAAAGTTGGTACATGAAATGTTTGTTTACAAAAGGGGTTATCAGAATTTTTATTTATAAAGAAGGACATCGGATGAGGCTTTATTTACATATTGGGGTATCACAATAGAACTAATACCTCACAAACGTGTTTACCTTTGTTTCAGAATTTTTGTCCAAAGCTACTTAAGGGCTATCTGAGCATAGCTGTTCCTAATTTTGAACTGACAGACTAGAGAGATAGCAGCTAGTAAATAGCATCCACTGTCAACTCTTGGACTACTGTTGTTTGATTAAATAGTGGAATCTGATCATCATTCTTAAAGAACACCCATAGTCCAAAAGTGTGGAACTCATTTTTGTGGCAATATGTTGCAAAGCACGAATCCTCAAAACCACAGTTCAGGCAGTATGTTCACCATTAGGCCATTCTCAACCCAAATAGAAACTTGCAAAAATACAAACTGACATATTATCAATAATAATAATAACAGCCCATAGAATAAATAGACAATTTTATTTTTCTAAGAAATCTAGTGGTCTAACCTTTCTCAGCATAGTATGTATGCAGAAGTGAAGCTTTGACCTGTGGAGACCAGAGTCGGACTGTTCCATCAGCAGAGCATGACAATAAGTGTAGTTTTGAACTATGGACAGATAATCCCCAAACAGCATCTGAATGACCCTTGAGTGTACTGGTTATTACTCCTGGGTCTGCACAGAAAATATATGTTTCTAGGGTAAATTATGAAATTAACTTTAAAAACTTTTACATTTTACTGTGTAAAGACTACAGAAATTTTTCTTTTTATTGTACAAGTCACTGAATGAAATAACACAATAACAGAACATCTTCAATAGAAATTAACACAATACAAACCAGATCACTGCTGACTATGTACATAAAATACAAAAAGGTTATGTATTCATCAAATCTGAATACAAAAAATACACAATCATACCACACTTTCTGCTGGATGAAGTTGGTATACTTGACACATTCTTTAATTCCTCAAGACATCACAATACACAAAAACAATCACAACATACCCAACATTTTATCAAATAAAAATACAATCACAATACATTCTAATACCTGATAATGGATGTCAATATACACAAACTAACTGCACTTATTGTCTGATGAATTAAAATTAAAACACAAAACGAAATTCATGCACAGTCACAGCATCCTGATAAAGTCAACATATACAATAGGTAATCAAATCATACCTAACAAAGTCAATACATAAAATCACAATACACATTAACATCTGTTGTAACTATACACAATATGCAATAAGACTACATTTACTACAGGAAGCCAATTCACACAAAACTTAGTCACAATAAATTTTAAAGCCTGAAAAGGTAAATATACACATTACAAACAAACCACATTTAATATATGATAGTCAATACAGAGAACATACAACCCAACTACTCTGTCTAATGAATTCAACAGACATAATACAATGTATATTTATATTTGATTCAAAGCTATTCTGACTTGTATTTGTTTTAGATTAATTAAATTGTTTCTTTTTTTATACTACTTAATGAAGAAAAAATTTCCTTTCAGTTCACAGTCACTATCTTGACTGACTTAATGTTAGGTATTTAAAATGATTAATAGTTTTACACAATCTGAATCATTATAAATGCATGCTAATTTAAAGACCTCAACATCTAAGAAACATAAAAATGTTTAAAGTAACTTTTCACTGAACATTGACAAAAATATTATGCATTTCATCTTCTTCTGACACAGTCATAATCAGATATACAAAATATACAGAATGTGTGAAAAGACATGATATGCGCATATACATCTCCTGATAATAAGGTGTTTTAAAATTGAGGCCAAGCTATAAATAAAACTTTCACTCACTAAACAAGTTATAATTTAAAAAAAGCAAGAATGAAAGTAGCTTCTCAATGGCCTTTTGCAATCCTTGGTCAAAATGAGGACTTACTAACAGCTGTTTAGTTTAGCTATAAACATTGCACATGAACAATGAATACATAATTATCTAATAAACAAACTTAATTTACCATATGAATCATAGGGGTCAATGTTAGAGTTTGGCAAGTTCCAACATTTGATTGTTGAGTCCAGGCCACCACTAAAACACTGTTCTCCTGTAGCACTCATTGTTACACATAAAACAGCTCCACTGCAAAACAAATGTGTTGTGTTGTATCATCCTACATTCAACAGCTAGTTGATTAGCTACAATAAACAACCATGTGCTATTGTTTTTACATTACATATTTTTATGAGATTACAGCTCTCAGACTCATGTGTGAATGAAAGTACATGTATGTTTGATATCCTAAATTAAAGTGTTACACTGCTGACTAGTTACACAAACATACAAAAATTCAACTTGTTAATGTGTATAAAAAGAACAATTTAATGATTAAATTATTTTAAATATCGTTTAAAAATTTACAAGTTCTCAGAAAACAATAAAATCGGCTCTATAATTCAAGCATACTGTTTTAACCTCACTTTAGAAATCTTTCTGTCATCCAAAACATCATATTGTATCTAAAAATTTCTCATTAGCTTAAAGTTACATGTAACTAATATATATTATTAGTGTTTAATTGTTTAACTTACCAATGACCTCTGAAAGTATAAATTGGTTCTACATCTAGAGATGCTGTTCTAAAAAAAAGAAAACACAAATATTAATAAAATTATACTATCTACTGTTTATAAAAATATTTTTCATAAGCAATAAAAAATTTAATTTCCCTAAAATGTATGTTGTTACCCAGTCTAGAAAAAAAAAAGACAGTATTTATTTTCAGATGCAATAAATTAAAAAAAGTTACTTTCTATGTTAGTTCAATTATTTTTGACCATTTCTACATACAACTTAACAATGTACAAAACATGTTACAATCACACGTGAGAGTTTGGGAGATAGTTTGTTTGAAGTTAAGCACAAAGCTACACAATGGACTATCTGTGCTCTGCTCACCAAGAGTATCGAAACCCGGTTTCTAGCGTTGTAAGTCCACTGTGCCACTGGGGGGCTTGGGAGAGAGAGCAGCTTATGTATCACAAATAATATACATTTATAAAATTCTGAAGAAAAAATAGCCATTTATACTATAAGTTTAGAAAAAAATATTTCATAAAAGGTTTCCAAAAACCAGTGTAATAAAATCCATTATAAACATCTTATTATAATGGAGCTTGTGATGTATACATCCAGAATGAGTATTTCCGAAACTACTGCACCAATCTTAACTGGGTAATATTTTTAAAATTAGGCAGTATTTTTATAGCTGAGCTATAAATAAAACAATTGAAATTTCCCCAAAAAAATGATGTTTCAGAATTAACCAATAAAAATTACAAACAAAAAGGAGTAAGTTTCAGATTTAACCAATAAAAACTACAAAAAATGAGGAAGTTTCAAATATAAAACAATCAAAAAGCAAACTTAAAAGAAAATAATTGTTTTTCTTTAGTGAAAATCTGATAAGTGTTGCAATAGAAAAGCAAGGCACTTTCATTGATAACTGTGTCTACAAAGAAATACTTCAATAAAATTTACTATGTGATGTAATGCTGTGATGATAGCTCATTTTTAAACTAAAACTTCAATAAAATCCTTTTTCTCATGGATGGTGAACATTATTGAATGTCAAGTATGAGTATATTATTGTAGAACTGTCAGACAATTCCAGAAAAGGCCACAAGCCCAATCACCTTCCACAGGAACTAGCAGTCATACCTGCCCAGAGGGCAGGTACTTCTGCTATTATATATATATAATATCACATTCTTGTGTGGCTTTTACATGAAATCCAATATTTAAATAAAAGGTTAAGCCCACATTGTAGATATAATTATTTTCTCATTCCATATTGGGAGATTTTTTACACATAATCTTCAACATCTTTCAAATTTACCTTGATATAATTAAAATTAAATCATCATTAGTTTTAGTTTTCACAGTATACTGCAAGTAGCTGAAAGAATTTAATTCTTGTTTCAACAGTAAATTTTAGGTATCTCAACACAGTTAATTCTTGCTTTTACATTACCCTGCAAGTCCACTGCAAAGACATATGAGATGTGGCACCAGGAATGACAGTTTATCACCTATGTATTCCATTCACAGTTAGTTCCCAACCATTCAACTGTGCAATGAACTGTTTGCTCCTGAAGAAGAAAGGTCCACCTTTCAAAAGTGCTCGGGTTATGGGATTTTTATCATTATGATTGGAGAGATATGGTACAAACCTTTCCAAGGAAAGATACTCACATACCAAAGTTTTTAAATGATGTATAGCAAAAAGAACCCAACATTTCATGAAATAAAACCTTCATTGTGCTTCAGAGAAGTGGAAAAACATCAATGTCAGAGAATTTCAGACATCAACAGACTCCAAAACCAATCTTGAGCAAGGATATCATCTGAAAAGAGCTGTCCAACCCCAAAAAAAGTCAATGCAATAAAACTGGTATCATTAGCTAATAAAGCTGGTGCTATTAAAAAAGATAATAAATAAGGATTTGAAAAAGATGATGAAAGCTCACAAGACAAAAGTTCAAAAGCTCTCACCACAATCAGTGTCTGTTTTCATGAAAAGATGACTAAAAACAGAATCACAACCATTCGACTACATATCTGACAAATCCACTGGTGAAGCTTCAATAGATCTGTCTGTCTAAACATGTTCTTCAAAGTCAACATCCACATACCCTGGAAAGTCTGTAAAATGTCTATCAAGCTATGTGGTATAATAATATTTTGCTACTTTTCACAGGAGCTTGTAAGAATGGAAACTGTGGTGTTGGAAAACAAATAGTAATGATGACAGCCACAATCAATGATACATAAAGTAGTTAAAAAGGTAATCATAGGATCAGAAACACTAATTTTATAAAGTACAATTATCCCTCAATAACATCAACTTCAAAATTTCTTAATTTTACAATATGGTACAAGTAACTTCAAACAAGCTAATTCTTACTTTCAGAGTAAACTGCTAGTAATGTTAGTGTGGCATATTCTTGCCTTTACAATATATACTAAAATCTTAATAATTTCTAATACTAATTTCTAGCTTTCATATAACATAACATAATGTTTTGGGATAACGTAGGACCTATTGGTCCATTTCAGCTGTTCCATCCTCTAAACTAAATTAAAATTATTAAAAATAAATAAAATCTTAATGCCAGCCCTTATCATTCATATCCTTATCAAGCTTT